TTTGAGGCTAATTACTTTACATCATTGCAGTGGTTTTTGTCATACATTGAAATGAATTAGCCATGGATTTACATGTATTCCCCCTCCCAGTCCCCCCTCCCACCTCCCTCTCCACCCGATCCCTCTGGGTCTTCCCAGTGCACCAGGCCTGAGCACTTGTCTATTCACTGTATCCTGGTCAACATCTTCCCAGAAAATGAAACCAAAGATGGAGACTATGAATATTAACTTATATTCAAACTAATGTTCCAGTTGACATACACTGAGCCTAACAGGGAGAAATGAAAGAAAGAAATTACATATTGAGTAAGATGAAAACTCTCCATTTGCTACACTGAGTTTAATAATTATATCATTTATTATAATTCAGGAGGTAGTTTTTAGTATCAAGTTTCACTTGAAATAAGTCTTTGAGCTATTCAAGAGATTCTTCTCAACTGTTTCTGATAAGAAAGAAAATTCTATGTAAAAGAGCTTAACTCTGGTCAAAATCAGTCTAAAAAAGGATTTACGCAAATATTACTTCTCAAAGATATAAAATATGATGCATGCTAGAGGCTGTTAAGTGGTAGAATCAACACCCCTGAATAGGGATAAAAATAACGACCTTGGTTATTTATTACTTTATGTATTACTTTGCTATCATCTGAATGTTTGTCTTTTCCTCAAATTCATATGTTGAAACCTAATCCTCATTGTGATGGTATCCGGAGCGGGGGTCCTTAGAATGTGATACGGTCACGAGAGCAGAGCCCTCAGGAATGGGGTTAGCGCCCTTATTAAAAGAGACCCCGGAGCTCCTTTGCCCCGGCTACCACAGGAAGAAATGGTGTGCTAAAGCCAGCTAAGAATCAGGAAGTGTGCCCTCCCCAGTCACTGAATCTGCTGGTGCCTTAATCTTAGACTTCCATCCTCCACAGCTGTCAGAAGGAAGTATTTGTTGTTCATAAGTCACTCATTTTATGATACCTTGGGACTTCCTTGATAGCTCAGTTGGTAAAGAATTTGCCTGCAATGCAGGAGACCCCAGTTTGATTCCTGGGTGGGGATAATCAGCTGGAGAAGGGATAGGCTACCCACTCCAATATTCTTCTGCTTCCCTTGGGGCTCAGCTGGTAAAGAAACCACCTGCAAAGAGGGAGACCTGGGTTTGATCCCTGGGTTAGGAAGATCCCCTGGAGAAGGGAATGGCTACTCACTCCAGTATTCTGGCCTGGAGAATTCCAAGGACTGCAAAGAGTTGTCCCAAAGAGTTGGACACGACTGGGCGACTTTCACTTTCACTTTGGTATAGGAGTCTGCGCAGACTAAGAAAAGATATAACTGAATTTTTTTTTTTCATTTTTCCCCCCTGCAATTATTCCTGATCCTGAACCCCACTGCTGAACTGTCAGGTGTGAGGGAAAAGGCAACAATCTCACAGTTGGCTAAGAAACCCTTCATTACCACAAAAGCACTGCTAAGTCAGACATCTTCACAGGGGACTGTTTGACAGATTGGGGATGCTCACTTTTAAAAGTTGTGATTTGGAACTCAGGAATAAGGCCTAGAGAGCAAGGCTCTAGGTAAGCTTTAGTCTACATTTGTGCAAGTAAGAAAAAATATGTATTCCCCAAAGTACACAAAAAAATCCATATCATATCCAGAGTTGAATTAATCTCACTAATGGAAAAAATGCTAATTGATTTTTTCCCACTTATTCTCAAGTGCACACACTTTGAGTTGGCTAGAATTCTTTTCATAAAAAGGTAAGATGTCTTTCAGAACTACGGTGATGTTTCTTTCTGAGACAGCAGTGACAAGTGTAGAACTGACTTCGTTTCAGATTTCTCTGCCTAAAACGTAGGTAAGGTCAAGTTTATATTTGTAGTCTTACAAACCAAGGTGAAAGTTACTGCTATGTGAAATGATGGATCTAATCTTTAAGTGCATAAATATTAAGAATACATTACAGACCCTACTCTTTTGGATTTTAAGTATATGGATATTTTATTCAAGTGCTAGAAATGGAAGGTTTTATGATAATAAAACATATACTGTATATAAAACTGTCAAAAATTTAAAATACTCCAGAAATGTAAAATTAATAAACTATTTAAGATGTCTATCTTCTCATCTTCTTAAGAAACAAATACTACATTCAAAGCTTTAGAAAACAGAAGAGTCATGGTTTATATTTAGCTGCACTGTAAAATGCAATCCAGAAACATGGTTTTAATATAAGGGCAAAGAAGAAGGAATTAAGCTTTTCACATTGCTTTAATCTTATGCTCCATGCTCACATGCAATATTGCCCAGCAACTTTATATTATCTTTACATGTATTTCCAATCATTAAATGTTATCATATTGATTGTTATATTTTGTTTAGGTTTTTCTCCATTTTTTTCCCAACCATTCCTTCTCACATTTCAGGCTTTTCTTCTGGGATCATATCTTTCTGCCTGAAATAATTTAACTTAGAAATTACTTGAAAGTTTTAGATGGAAGTTGGTTCCCTGAGTTTCTATTTATCTGAAAATGCCTTTTTGGTTGTTGTTCTTAACTTTTGTTTTTAGAAGGTGTTTCTTAAATACAGTTTTAGTTTAGCATTTATTTTCAGTCCGTTTTGAAGATCCTGTCCCCATTTCATCTGCCTTCTGATGTTGCTATTGGTTACATAACTATCGATTCTTTCTCCTGTGTAGCAACCAGTCTTCACTGCTGCTTTTCGAATCTTTTCTCTGACCTCTATGTTTCACAGTTTCAGTGATTGATTTAGGTGTGACTTTCATTTTATTCTTACCCCTTGGGATTCTTGGGTCTTAAAAATTGTGGAAAGCCCTGCTTCATTATTATTATTATTATTTTGGTGGCATCAAGTGGCATGCTGGATGTTAGTCCTCTGACCACGGATCAAACCTGTGTCCTTGCAGTGGAAGAACAGAGTCCTAACCACTGGACTGCCAAAGTCCCTCATTACCTTTTGAAATATTACCTTTCCACTATTCTATTATTTTCTTCGGAAATCTAATTTTATCCTCCATGTTGTTATTCTCTTCTCTTTTATTATTTTAAGTATATTCTATTAGGCCAAATTTCAGATCTAAGTTATAATTTCTCTTTCATATATTCACTCACTGTTTAACCCATTTAGCTAATTTGCTGTCAATTACCGTAATTTTTAATTTAACATTTCTCCCTAGAGTGAAAATAAAATAGGCAACTATCCCTAGAACGTTCCTCTCTCCACTTAAACCCAGGATATCATGTTTTATAGGAGGTTCTTTATGGATAATTCTATGGTTTCATTTTCTACCTTGATGAGGCCCTAAACTCACCACTGTTTTCCTGATCTGAGGCCCTAACCCCCACTGGTGAGTGACTTTAGCTCACAGGATTTTCCTTCTGGAGAATAGCCAGAAATATATTCTTATACTTTTGGCATATAAACTTTTCCTTACTATGTCATCAGCACAGTCATTCTTTAAAAGATATGTATTTGTAACTCAATTTGGTATTTTTATATAATGTGTACTGCAAGGATATTTTTAGGTTATCAGATCACCATACTGTCAGAAATAAAACCTCAATATAAATTAATTTATACTAAGCATTATGTAGTTGATACATTAGTAAGTTGAAAATTCAACAAGTAAGAAAAGGCAAGATTACCAACGCTACTCTATCTGCCTTTGACTTATCCGAAGCTGAATTTTTAAAGATACAAGACTGTCTATTCTGCCAAGCTGAATCCTTCCAATTAATATGTAGGTACATGGAGGCAGTCAGACTGTCAATGATTGAAGTAGACTTTCAAAGGACTTCACATTGCTGTAAAGATGCTATGGGGATCGTAACATTATATGTACCAAGGGATTTACATTATTATTAAGTGTAATTATATCTGCATGTTATGTAGATATACATATTGCACTCACATACACACACACATATGTAATTATACTTAATTATTCCCAATAAAATATATGTACCTTAATTTCATCCCAACAGCAAACTTGCAAGACTGCATTATGCCTTGATATCAGTGACACACAAGTCACTATTTTGTACCAGGATTTGCATTAATAAAAAGCTGTTTAGTGTCCCCAGTACCATTTGATGGAGAATGATCTTTCCTGCTGCTCACTGCTATCTCTGTAACCTGGCAATCCTCCAGCAGATTGGAGAGAGAAGACACGTCTGAGGATCAAGCTCAAACACTCTACTAGTTGCTACTGATAGAGGCTTTGTTCCTTAGAGAAGACATTAGCTGCCAGCTGGCTGTGACAGTCTGTGAGCTAACACTGACTTTTGTGTTGGTGCCATAACCATATTTACAGATTGGAAAATATATACAATCAGATGAAGATGGACCCATGGACTTCCCATGGAAGTAAAAATTGTAACAATATCCAAATTACAAACATGATCACAATAATTACATTATTTTTAAGATAACTTCAGTACTTAGGGTCTCAGTGCAGAAATACCTTCTCTATATGAGAGATATGGCATATGTTTGCAAAGAACATGGGCTTACAGAGAACTGAGGATAGTGATTCCATTTATAGCTGGCCATCCATTCTAGATTTTCTAACAGTCCACTGTGTCAGAGAACCACTAAGAAAGGTAGAAAGAGTGATCCTGAATGACAGGGAATGTAGAGGTAGAATTTCACAGCATTAGGGAAGCATGAATGTACAGCTTTGCTATTTTCTTTTGCCAGACTCTGAATGGAATCTTCTATATATTCCATGAATATCACCTTGTGAGGAATTTAAATTGTCCTGTTTCAACACAATCACCCCAAATGGCTAAGTCTCTAAGAAAATGACACTAGAAGGCAATGATACAGTTAGAATTCTTGGTGAATATTATGAACACTTCTGAATCTGATAACCTTTTTTGTAAATATAAAAAATGGATGGAAAATAGTCAATTAGCATTTTGTCTCTAATTTCATTTCCCAGTAAACGCTGAAGATGCCAAAATGAAAGAACAGATTGGACCCGTACTTACCGCTCTAGTCCCGGGGCAGTTTGGAGACTGGCATTCACCACTCATTCGGTTTGGGATTAAGACATCTTCCCAACAAGAAGGACCCTTTGGGGAAAAACAAAACAAAACAAAACAGGATATTCTTGGTGCACAAATTATAAAATAAATGTACTCACACATTCTAAAAATCTGTTTATGTTATAAAATGATAATGAAAGTAATATATACTCCAATGATTGTCAAAGTATAATACACAGACCTGGGGAGTTCTCAGGACCCTTCGAGGGGATCTGGTAGGTCAAAACTATTTTCAATAATGTACTAAGATAATATTTGACATGTTGCTCCAAATGTGTATCACATATCCATGGAATCCTTTCCCGTTGCAGTTACATTGAATTATTTACAAATGTAATTAAATACCTTTAAGTTCATTTCAATTTCAGTTGCTAACTTTTCAATGAAAACACACTTGCAAGTTACACCCACAAGGAGTCTTTGAGGGGCAGCAGTGGGATATGGGGGCTTCCCAGGTGGTGAGTGTCAGACAGAACCTGTCTGCTAACCAACGCAGGAAAGGATAAAACAGGTGGGTTGCATCCCTGGGTATGGAAGATCTCCTGGAGGAGGGCATGGCAACCCACTCCAGTACTCTTGCCTGGAGAATCCCAAGGACAGAGGAGCCTGGCGGGCTACAGTCGACGGGGTCGCACAGAGTTGGACACGACTGAAGCAACGCAGCAGGCAAGCGGGCGCATTGGAACAGGGGAGGCGAGCACGCAGGACCCCCAGCTGCAGTCAGCAGGCTGAGCAGACTCCGTTATCCCCTTCTGCCTCCTGAGGCCCCCTGAGAATTACAGCTAATAATAGCACCATGTGAATCCAGGACACCGAGGAAGATAGAATGCAGAAGTCTGGGTGAGAAGAGAGTCTCAAACTTTTCTGGAAATCTGCCATCCGCTCTGAAGGAGGAGGGGCCTCTCTGCTCGCAGGCCTACAGGGAGACCAAAGCCTGGAGGAAAAGGAGCTAGGGAGAGGAAGCCGACGGAGACCTGGAGCAGCTAACAGGGAGAAAGTTTCATTTTAAGAAGCATAAGACCCTAAATCTTCCTGCTAGAACTGTCAGATCCTCGGCTTAGAAACACAGAATGCAATGAAACTTTCTGTGTATATGACAAATATGCACTTTTCCTGTGTTGTTTTTTTCCAGGGCCCAGAAAGCAATGAAAATATTTATGTAACAATTTTGTTACATAAGTACCATTTTATCTGACAAATCCTTATGTTGTACCGGGAAATTACAGAAAGCTCATTCAAAATTTTCTTCTCGATCTCAAACATTAACAAAATAATACAAGTAATAAAACCGAAGAGAAATCAGTTGGATATGAGAATTAGACATAATGAAATACATGTGCTAGTTCATCCATGCTATTCAAACTATTAGTATTGAAAGCTATTGCTATACCCACCCTGAAAACAGAAACACATGTCCCAGTTACTTGCTAACATTATAAAGCAGATTTAACTTTTCCCATTTCTAGTTTTAGAAAATATAAATTGTTTAATCATTGTATACTATACAAAGTATGCATTGTATACTATACAATATTTGCATGGCTAAAGCATTTATAATTAATAGTCTTCACATAGGAGTGAGAAAGGTGTCTAGACCACAAGGTTTAAAAGGACTGCAAGCCACACGGCAGCACAAGGGAGCTATGAATTAGAACGTGTCAAGGAAAGAATAAAAAAAAAAATCTATTTCCTCTCTCAAAGGTAGAGAACTGGAGAAAGATATCAGAGAAACAATGTCAGACAGAACAGTGTGAAATACACGTCTTAATACAGAATTGTGTGCCTGTTTTTCAGAAATTGTTCTTTTTTGTCCAATAGTAGTTACACACAAGAAAAATACACAACTTATGTGAGCATCTATATCGGGACTTATTAAACAATGGCCTTGTTGACCAAATCCAGCCTTGGGTTGGTTTTCATACAGCCCATGACCTAAGAATGGTTTTACATTTTTCAGTGGTTAAAAGCATAAAAAGAAGAGCATTCTGTGGTACACAAAAAGTAAATGATACTCAAATTTCCAAGTCCAAAATGAAATGTATTGCACACGGCTGTAGTTCATCTGAGTACTAGCTATGCTGCTTCTGCCCAGCAAGGTCAGAACTGTGCTGTCGAAACACAGAGGAAGTGGCTCAAAAAGCCTTCATGTTTGCTATCTGGCCCTTTATGGAAAAAGTTTGCCAATCGTTGATGGTATATAAAATGTTCCAGGTTCATAATGAAAAGCATTCAGAAAATATTGTAGTGTCATTTTGGCCACCATATAATCTCATTCATTTGTTGAAGTAGTTGCATTCTGGGTCTCAAGTGAGAAATTACTTCAGTTAAAACCTTAGCGCTATTGATCTGTCAAATCTGAAAACACATGGATAGGATTCAGTGATCCAAGTTATTTCAGTTAATTTTAATCCAAGTTGAATTAGTAAGAAAGTAGACAATTATAACATCTGGGGATATGTCTTGAGTAATCTTACAACTGACTGAAAATCATGAAGCAGAATATTTAAACAGATGTATATGATGCAAAAAATCAGAAATACAGAAAAATGACTCAATGGCATGAAAAACTGCCAAAAATCTCTAAAATATGAGTCTTCAAATAATATTTACTCTTAAGAATTTTACAATAAACACACAAGTCATTTTGGCTATGTCTTGTTATGTCCAATCAAGTGGGAGACTCAAGTACTTAAGTGGGAAATTCTTACCTGAATATCACTTTGACAAGATTCAAACAGTTAAACTGTTTTACACTCCCCACCCCAGATAATCTAAGTAAATTCTATAATCTGTTCTTCATAAGTGGGCATAATTAACAATGCTGCTTTAAAAAATTACATATTTTTCCACACAGTCTTGGCATTTACAGGCTTGGAAAAGGTAATTTAAGTATTTTTACTACAATTTTACCAATTATCACAAGTTATCATTGAATGCGTTGCATTTAAAATATCCTCTTGAATGTTTCCATAAATATCTAAGTCATATAATTAAACTTTAGGGACTAAAATTATTTTGAAAGTGATACTGGTTCAAAATTGGGAAAGGAGTATGTCAAGGCTGTATATTGTCACCCTGCTTATTTAACGTATATACAGAGTACATCATACAAATGCTGGCGTGCTGCGGCCCACGGGGTTGCAAAGAGTCAGACACGACTGAGCAACTGAGCTCACTGTTTCCCCCTGTCATACAGTAGATCTTGTTCTGTGTTTTCCCCTCTTTGATATAAAGATCTTTTGCTTCTAATAAAACTAAACATGGTGCTATGATTATAGCAGAGGCCTAATAATGCAACCATTAAATAGTAAGCAGGGAAATAATATGGGAAAAGATCTTTTGAACCAATATATATCCACCAAGCAACTCTTTGTTAAACAGATCTTAAAATCTAAGAATACAGCTATGAAAAAGAGAGAAGAATTCTTTTTCTAATTGCTTTTGTTAAGTATACAGAAAGGCTAATGTTGTAAATTAGCTGGGCACACATATTCAATGAATAAAATTTAAAAGGATATTAATACAAAATGCCCGTCAGATGTAAAACAAATGGAATACACATACACTACTGCTCAAATACAAAATGACACAGCTAGTTTAGAAATTTATTATGAATTTTTAAAAAATTAAACATACAACTAACAACAAGCCTTGGCCATCCCAATCCTAGATAATTAACAGGTAAATGAAAACATGAGTCCCCAAAGACAATTATGTATCAATGCTCAAAACAGCTTTATTCTTAGTAGCCTCGAACTGGAGACCACCCAGATATCTACCAAAATATGAATGGATAAACACAATGTGGTACATGCAGCCAATGAAATACTACTCAGTAATCAACAGTATTATGTTATTTACAAATGCAACACCATGGATGAGTCTCAAAATTATGTGAAAGAAAGAAGCCAGATATGGAATACAATATATGCATGGGGCTTGCCTGGTGGATCAGTCATAAAGAATCCACCTATCCATGCAGGAAACATGGATTGGATCCCTGATCTGGGAAGATTCCCACATACTGCAGAGTCACTGAGCCAGGATGTCGCGAGTACTGAGCCCAGGAGCCGCAACTACTGAAGCCCACGCGCTCTAGAGCGGGCGCTCGGCAGCAAGAGAAGCCAACACAACGAGAAGCCCTCACCCCGCAACAAGTGTGGCCCCTGCTCGCTGCAACTAGAGAAAGACCGGGGCAAACCTGAAGACCCAGTGCCACCCAAATAAATAAAATGATCTAAAAAACCCGATATAGACTAGATTCCACTTATATAAAATGCAGATCTATAGTGGCGGAAACAGATCGGTGGTAGCTCTAAGGTGGGGGCGGATGGTGGAATGGGCTCTGTGATAGCATGAATAATCTTTGGGGGGTATTATGGGCTGAGCTGTGTCCTCTCAAACTGAATACGCTAAAACTTGAACCCTCTGTAGAATGTGACTGCATTTGAAGAGAAGGTCTTTAAAGAGGGAATGAAGGTAAAACGAGGTCACTATGGTGGACTCTAATTCACTGTGACTGGTGTCCTTAAAAGGTGTCTCTAACAAATGGGACTAGGACACAGAACAGAGAAACCATCCCATGAACACACAGAAGAAGACAACCATCTATAAGCCAAGGCAAGAGGTCTGAATAGACACCAGCTTTGCTGACAGCTTAATTTCAGACTTCTAGCCACCAGAATTATGAGTAAATGAAATTCTATTGTATAAACCACATAGTTGGTGCTACTTTATTATGGCACCCCTGGCAAACCAAGGCAGGGGTTATGGAAATGTTCTCCATCTTCATTGTGATGTGGTTTTGTGGGATTATATACTTGTCAGAACTCTTCAAATTATACCCTTCAAATGGAGACAGTCAATTTTACACAAACTATTTCTCAGTAACGTGTAATAGGAAAAAATGAACTGAGAAATTGCCAAGGAAATTCTGTGAGGGAAGTAGAAGCTTTGTATCAAATGATGCTTGACCAATTGAATATCAATATCTAAATCCCTTCCTCATTCCATACAGTTTCTAGAAG